AACCGTATTTTAAAACACATGCTGACATTACAAAGTAGAATTTAAAATTACTCAATTTTAAGCAAAATTGAGCATATTTTAAGAAAAACCCTCATTCATGGACCCTTAGGTCATATCCCAGGAGATACAAGTTCTCCTTCTCCTTCCCAGTTGTCTGATCCAATTCCACATTTTGCTTCTCCCCTCATTAATCCCTTTATATGCTGCATCTCTCCTACTGGTTATAGTAACAATGACTCTGCAACCCTTTTAACCTGGAGGAGAAAGTGTTGTTTTCTTGAGAGATCACTCATCCATTCTGTCCACCCTTCCTTCTCTTTGTGTTGACAGTAGACAGGATACAGCAGGTATCTTTACACTCAGAGTCTGCCCCTACTCACTTTTTCTTTTATTATGTTCCTTAAGACACTTTTATTATGTTCCTTAAGACAAGCCATGGCTCCGTAAGCAAGTCTGCCATGTCCTAGTGTCTTCCTCTGCTTGCCAAGCTAGTACACTTTACTCAGGTGAATTTTATTCCAAAAACTCAAGTCATGTTAGATGTTAGAACTCAACCTACCAGTGTTCGGGTGCCAAGGCCATCACCAAGTGGTGGCATCTCCTTATTTGAGCAGATCCTTGTCATCATCTTCATCAACAGCTGTAACTTTCTCCTATTTTCAGGTGGCAGGAGGAGGCAGCAAATCTGAAATGCTTCAATGGCCATTTTCTCCTCCTGTAACAAACCTGATTTAGAAAAAAAGTTTTTAATCTTAAAAATCTATAGCTTATTTAACTCTATAAAGTTCAGATTTTTATAAAATAAACATTACTAAAATTATGTAGAACATGTTTACATATTCAACTACTGGGCCAATTGATTATAGATCCATGGTCATTCACAAATTAGCACAAAAAATACAAACCATCAACTAGTATTGAACAAATACAGCCATTTTCCCCTCCACACCACTGACAGATATAACTGAATTTTCATAGCATTCTTTCCCACTGAACCAAGAGCAGTCAGGTTGAGCGTAGTCTAACACCTAACCCCCATGAGCAAGAACATGAATGTGCCATCACTTCCCTGAATTCTCCCCCTTCATTATTTCCTCATGACAAGCAGATCATCATCTTACATGATTCTCAGACTAAATAGTAGAACTAATGTTCCTATGGTTAATCCATTGCCAAATAGCTCTGCTTCTAAGTAACACCTGTCCAATAACCCTTCCTCCCTCTTAAGCATTTTTTTCTGGTTAAGGGGGCTGATTCAATTATGCTACATGCCATTCCTCTGCACCCAGTATGATTTTGCTAAAAATTCTAATATTGTGTGCTCTTTATCCCTATTTGTCCCTGGACACAGCCATTGCAAGCTCACTACAGAGATTAAACTGCTTTCACCAATTTACTAACCCATATCCAACCTCTTGTTTCTAGTCTCTGACTTGAAGGCAAAATCATCTTTCATATTCCATAAATATTTTCTGACCATTTATGGTATGTCAGAAACTATGCTGGGTCCTGGAATTTAAAAAAAATATGCCAGGTCCCTTTCCTGTAAAAAGGAGAGACCCACAAAAAATAAGTGACAAAATATAAATGTAAGAGATGCGCTTCAAGAGACATTTGCAAGAGGCATATCAGAGGAATGCTAAGTCACTCAATATGAATGCAGTGTAGGCTTTGAGGGTAAGGGCTTAGTGTAGAAGTGAAGCTAAAATTACTGCAGAGACGAGATCTTAGAAACCCTGAATACCAGATTAAAGAGCTTGGGTTTTATCCCAAGGGCAATGGACAAGCCTGGAGAGAAAGGAGGAAGAAGGAGGGAGCTTTTATATACAAGTTCAGATCCTAAATGTTCACCAGAAATACTGCTGCTGATTATTATTATCATTTGTATAGATCTGCTTTCAATTCTACATAATCAAATCCATGAAAAGAAAAAACGGTTTATGACCACATTTTAATTTATTCTTTCATTTATCTAATAAATATTTGTTTAAGCCCTGCATATATTCCAGGAACTGTTTTAGAAAGGATACAGCGGGGAATAAAATAAAGTCCTGTCTGACCTCATGGAACTCCCTTCCCAACAGATAATGAGCAGATCTCTCTCTGCTCTCCATCTGGCGACTTGGGGAGCCATGTTCCCTAAGCCACTCCACTCTCTGCCAGCTCTCCCACTCTGCTCTCCACCTGGCGGCTTGGAGGGAGCGACTGAATGAGCCACATCCCCCCAAGCTGCCAGCTCTCCCATTCTGCTCTCCACCCAGTGCTCGTGTATGCAAATTAACCCACCATCTTTGTCGGGTTAATTTTGCATACCCACTCTTGATTGGCTGGTGAGTGTAGCAGAGGGATGGTCAATTTACATGTTTCTCTTTTATTATATAGGATTCCTAAAAATCATAGAACTCATGATAGAGGAAACCTCAAGTCAATTTAAAAAAAGGACACATAATGCCCAGAGAAACAAAAATAAGGAATTATCATAGACAACTTTAAAGTGCTGAAAGAAAACTTTTAACACAGAATTTTATATCCACTGAAAATATCTTTCAGAAATAAGTCAAAACAAGTACTTTTCAGAGCTCTCTGTCCCCCCTCCAAGAAAGCACTGAATTTGTTTCCCAATAGACCTATACTATAAAAAATGTTAAGGACACTTTTCAAGCAAAAGGAAAATGTTATCAGATGAAAACCTGGATCTACACAAAGAAATGAAGAATACCAAAAGAGATTAATATGTGGGTAGATAAAACTTGCTTTAGGTTTCTTAATTTCTTTGAAGAAAAAATATCTGTTTAAAGAAAAAATAACAATGTGTAGTAGGATTTATAAAGTGTTATTAAAAAACATATGTTGGACTATAATGTATGAAACAATAGTACAAAGGGAAAAAATATTATTGCAACATAGTAACATTATATGTGAAATAATATAATATTTAAAGGTAGGCAAAGATTTCTTTAAACAAAAAAAGAATGAACCATAAAAGAAAATTATAAAATGCATTTCATCAAAATTAAAAATTTTGCTTTATATTTATTACTTTTAATAAATATTTTTTTATTTCAGAGTGGAAGGGAAAGGGAAAAAGAGATAGAAACATCAATGATGAGAGAGAATCATTGATTGGCTGCCTCCTGCATGCCCTCCATTGGGGTTCAAGCTCTGTCCCTCTCCCTTCCTCTCTCTAAAAAATCAATAAAAACGTATTTTTAAAAATCTTAGAATTATAAAAGCTCCTGTGAAAGAAAGACAGAAAGACTTCATAAGACACACAAATTAATTTGACAAAGTAAAACACAAAAGCTCTTTATCATGTGATTAAAATCAAAGACAAGTCACAGACTATGAAATGGTATCTGTCAGACTGGAGGTAAAAAAAGACTACTAGCATTCAGAATATATATTTTAGAATGACAAAAAGAGAGAGAGAAAGAAAAAAAATAGGTAAAGGATAAAAAAAAAATCTTTCACCCAAGAAGAAACCCACATAACCAATAAATAGCAATAAGATTCCTTTCCAGATTAGAAAAATTAAAAAACTTGATGAAACCAAGTATCAGTAAGGAAATGGTCAAATAGGAGTATAATGCTAATGGGTTTGTAAATTGCTGGAACCACTCTGGAAAGCAATTTGCTAAATATTTTGCTTCTACATACAGAACATATGCAAAATCTATTGTTAAATTGGGGAGGATGGGCATATGGATGTATTTTATATTAGTCTCTGTTCTGCCAATTTAACACCACCACCATCTCTCAAATAGTATTTTGGTGGAAATCAAATTACCGGGTTCCTTTGTAAGTGCTATTTAAGAACATTTTTTTATGAGCATACCTCCAATAATAATGAACACATCTAGCACTAGGTCTTGGCTTCTAAATATCACTTTACTAAAAGGAACCGAGAATCCTTGAAGAAATGGCTGGTTCCAAGGCTTGGAAAAGAAAGTACAAGATGAGCCTGTAGTGCCAGTGCTGTAAGAATGATGGGGACGTGGTAAAAGGATGTGAGCCAGTTTGAGGAGCCTCCTTCAGCCATCCTAATAATAGACAAACATGGTAACTGACCATACCTTCGCTATGCCTCCCATTGGCTAATCAGCATGATATGCAAATTAACCACCAACAAAGATGGCAGCTAATTTGCATACCGCAGGCAGATCCCGCTGCGCCACCCTTCGTGGGGCTGGCAGCAGCGCGATCCACAGCCGCTGGCTGACCCAGTTCGAGATCCTGGCCTGCCGTGTGT